AAAGATTTTACAAAGAATTAAGGTAATGGGGTAACTTACCTAATATCTTTTATTGAAAATATTCTGTAAAGGAAAAACGAAACCCGTAATGTTTCTAAATTACAATTTTAAGATTTTTCGAAAATGAAATCAAACTTCTCTTTCAAGAGAAGTCTTCTTTTTAAATAACAAAAATACCTAATAATGCATTTTTAAGATTCCGCGAAACAGAAATCCAAAGCTCCTTTACAAGTTCCTACAAGTTGAAGCTCTTCGGCTTGCATTCGCAGAATTTCTTATTGTTATTGCTTTTGCCGAGCTCTTGGCCAAGTTATATTTAGACCTAACGAAATTCCACTGTTACCAAATTTATCGGGCTTTCTGTCAACTGTCAGCCACTTCAGCAGCATCAGCTGAGGAAGCCTTTCCAGCCAACTCCAGATTGTTCAGATATCGCGGGACCTATCTTTGGCGAGTCACTTTTGGCTTTTGACATGTCGCTTATGTTGTGGTAGTCTGCTTAGAATGCGTTCGATGTCAAAGTGCTGTCAGATTTGTGTCAGCCATCACAGATCGGCCAAGTCAACGTTGCTTCTTTCCCCTGTGGTTGCGAAAAGGGCGGCTTAATTAATATTGATGCCGGCATTAACAATGCGGCATTCTCTGCCTGCTACCAACCTCCCTCTCTCCCCTGATTAAATCTGACTGATGATTTTTGATGGTGAAAACGAAAGTGAATATACAAAAACGCAACAAAACGCCTTTGTCCCAGTCAGTTGACTAATTAAGCAGCGAGCTTGGCCCAACAATTGGCCATTGTTGATATTTAAGGCTTAATTACCGGCAAGGCCAAGTTGGTATTCGTTCGAAAGTTCTCAGTGCCCTGAACTGAACTGAACTGCAATTGTTGTGCCCGCTTTTTGTCCAGAGACAATTCCCATCCCGGTCGGGATTATTGAAACGTTTTCCTAATCAGCACAAAGTGCTCGACCAGAGGAAGTCATCCTCCAGGCCAAGCCGTAAACTTGACTGTTTGCCTTTAGCAATGCATGGCCCGAAAGACACATTCGGGACTCTGGCACTCGTCCTGGAACTGAAAGTCAGCCTGACTGGCTCGTGGAGTTGTCACAATCACTATGACAGCCAGGTCAGCCAAAGTATTCCTCTATATCCAGGATATGAATGCACTGTGCTATTTGCTCTCTCTCATTCTCTCTTCCAGTTAGAGAAAAATCAGCAAAAGATTGAAAAAAGTTGCTAAACAGTTTAGGTAAAGAAAGCTTAATTATTTTATTTTAGTATTATTAAGAAACTAGAAGCTTACATTCCTTAACTTTTTCTAAATAATAAAAAAAAGGAAATTTTCATAAAAATTATTCTGAGTTCGAATCCTTTTGTTTCCAGTGCTGCTATATGTATCTTCGTTGGATGAGAAAAATCTGAGAGAGGAGTTCATTACACTGAAAGCATTATTATTCTTCAGATTTTGCCTGCCGCATTATGGTTGCTTTATGAGGCTGACATTCAGATGTTGCATGTTCCGAGTTTTCTTTGCTTACTCTGCTCATGCATATTTGAGGAAATTATGGCATAAGCAACTGATTTTCAATTAAAGCCTTGTCAATTAGCAATTGCAAGTGAGTTAAGCCAGTCAACATGTGGTAAACAGAACAGAAGAAATTCTTGTTAGCATGAAGAAACTACTTAAAATATTTACTTTCTTAAATTATAATTTTATTACTGAGACTGCATTGCCAGAGCTTCAGCTTGCTGGGTGGTGTAATTACGTAGTGAACTGCATACTGGCAAAACCAATAAGCGTAAGTTTAACATTTTCAATGGCGTGCAAAGCAAGCGGAAAGCAACTTATTGTGCTGCACACTCACACAAAGGGAAAAGCCGCGAGGAAAACGAGTTCCCAAGTGGTCGACTGAGTCGGGCCAGGCCAGGCGGTATAGTGGAGGTCCTGGCGGGCAGACAACAGGCTGAACGGCCACAATGGCCAGGACGACCAGGAGTGTCAGTAAAAGATAGTAAAACTTACAAGCAAAATGAAAATACAATCGCTGGACGTGCTCTTAACGTGGGTATAACAGCAAGTTGAGCTTCAGGAGCTGGGAAGAGCAAACAAAAGGCAAGGATTGCGTCAAATGAAGCGAACTGGGCGGACTACAAAAGCTTTCTTCGATATTAGCGCATGCCTGGCATTGTTCCTGTTGCCTGCACCAGGAGCATCGTCATCATCGCCGTCATCATCATCCTCATCGGTTTACACACTGCGTATACGCAACGCACGTGCAACAAAAGGAAATTGTTCCTGTGCACTCTGCCGTCGAATTTCAATTAACAAAATCATCCTAATGCCGGTTGGCCCTCAGAATAGTTATCTGCCAGGTTGGCCCAAGCAGGCAAATGCAACTGATGCATAACCAAGAGCTCAAGTAGAGCTCATCCGTATCCAGTCTGGCTGAAAGGGAGGAAGAGTTGGTTTACTGTTGACATTGAAGCTGGCTATACTTTAGGCAGTTTGATATGCTTGTTTGTAGCTTTTTTAGTTAATAAAATAATTTGATATTATGAAGTGAAATCGAATATACTTTTAGTATGAAAGAGTTTAGGCAACTAAACTTTTAAAAAGTTTATAAAATTTGTGTAAATTCAAAAAAAAGGAAGACATCATTTTCTTTTAGTTATTTCTGCAGATTTTTTTGCACTTCTAATTTTAGCAGTTATTTTTTCAGTTCTCTTCCCAATTACACAACCTTGCTTACTAATTTTGGTTTGTGAAAAAAGAAAGTTGCCGACTAACTAATTACACACAATTTTGCACAAGCTCCATTTACTAAAAAATTAAAGCATCCACCTACACTTTTCTCTCTGTTACTATATATATTCTCCTCACACATACACACACACACACGGCAGAGAGTATCCTTGTAGGAACAACAATTAGAGCCAGGATCACGTTTATAGCAACAACATTTTATTAAAATGCTGGAGTCGCAGTGGCAACAAATGAGATAGAGTAGCGCGTTTTTAATTTGTGCAGCAACGAAGGTGCAATGGTAGGGGGGCGGTTGGTGGGCATTTGGTGGATAGTGGCCACATTACATAGTAGCCGAAAAACAGAGCAATGCGGCGTATACTTAACAACGGCTGGCAGCAGAGCCAAAAAACTGGCAACGGACCCGAAGTACGTGTTGCCATAAGTGTTACGTGAATGTGTGTTTTGGGTGTTTTTGGTGTTTTTAGGTAGATATGTGTGTGTGTGTGTGTGTAAAGGGTTCGAGAGTGTGCGGATGACTGTGACCCAAAATCATTAGCAATATGAGCAGCAGTTTGTATTAAAAACAAAGCCAGAGCTTAGGGGAATGGGCTGTGATATGCAAAAAGTTCAAAAAACGTTAAGATTAGTAGTAGGCTTTAAGAATACCCTGGAATAAGTAAGAACAAAGTGCGTAAAAGAAGATCTAACTCTTGGTTTCCACTTGGTTTTCTTATATTTTTCCTATTTATTTATTTTTTACTGTTTGAAAAAATCAAAATTATTTTAAATTTGTGATATAAATTTCGTATAATTTACATGCCAACATACCCCTAATATCTCTTAAGCCAAAAATGCCTGCTCTTTTATATTTTCGGTGGCATGTGTGTGCCGGGCAAAAGGTTAAATTAAATGGCTAAATGATAAGCATTTGGGTTAAATTGCTCCGCCTGGCAAGCTGAAGAACACCAAACGTGAATATATGGCAAGCTGAAAGGGGGATTCGTCCCCTGTTTTTAGTCTGAATGGAATGCGTACAGTCGCTTCTAATGTTTTTAATAGCAAAAGTTATAATGAATTTGTTAAAGAGCAACAGCAGCAGCTGCGGAGGGGAAGTTTCACTCTTGATTGTTTAGCGTTTTGTTTGTGTTTGCCTTTATTCCCATCTCCGTTTCCTTTTTTATTTGTAAATTTTGTTAACCTTTCTCCCATTGAAATGATTCTGTGTGTGTTTTTTACGTTTTTCGTTGGTTTGTTCGGTAATCAGCAGCGGCGAGCTTAATTTTTATTTTTAGTGAGCTCTGCGTTTCTGCGGTTAACCTGAAGCCGAGCCTGTCATCATTTCATGTTTATGTGTGCTGTGCATTTTAAACAACTTTTTCTTGTTTTCTGCTTTAGCTGTGTTTGACTTTTATTTTAATCACGCAAAATATTGTGCAAATATTTAATTATGAGCTTGTTAACATTATTTGTGCGGTACCATAATGTCACCAAGGCCTACTGTCTGAATACAGATTAATGTCGTTCCTGGGAATTGTCATCATTAGTACGACCACGACTAGTAAGGGTAAAACAAATGGTTTTTCCTTTAATTAATTGGTAGATTTACTTGCAATGAATGTTCTTTTATACCCATTGAAGGCTTACTTCATATCTTTGCTTAAGGATCACTCAAGCCAAGGCTAATTTTAATCAATTTCTAGTCTCAGGTGATGCAGTTTTCTCGCTTGGTTTCTTCTTCTAAAAAAAGCACTTATTCTGTGTTTTTCAGTTCCATAAGAACTGAATGGCAAGCAAGGTCTTGGGGCTTCCGCAAAACCAACTTCCGTAGTCCGAGAGATGACAAAGTTTTTCTCTCGGCCTTTCGAGCAAACAACTCGTTAGGCTAATGAAATTTCTTGTGCCTTGCCATGGCCAAGAAATGCGGAGGGTGTCGATGGCCCGCAGCTTATCACAGCTACCGCATCAACAGGCTGCATGGAAAATTCAATTTTCCAACACTAATTGAATGGTTTATTTTGACAAGGTGGCCCCATGTTAGCTGATAACCCCAAAGGGTTTGCCGCAAATACACACTGACACACGGACTCATGGACTCATGGACACAGGACAACGGACTATTCGCACAGGTGACTGCAAAATTGGAGCAACGAAATTCGGTTTACTGCATATTGTTTGTGGTAAATTTATAGTCTGGCTATCGCGGGGCCACCTTGCAGCTCTTCCCTAACCAAAAATGAAATCTTTGAAATTTATTCGGGCAAATATTTAAATTTTTTATTAGTTATAGAATTTTATATGCAGTTGGGGAATGTGGACAAAATTTAGCTTGAGTAAATTATTTTAACAGTGGGGGAGCCTTTGATCTATCAGTCCTCTTAGCTAGAAGTTGGTTATCACTTATAGCAGCATCTGCAGATCTTCTCGATCTTGAACCAGTATAGAACTTCGTGGCGATATGTTTCTTCGGGCTCTAGATTGATCGACGGGAACGTCGGGTGATTCATGGCGTCGGGAAATTTCTGTGTTCCCACGCAGAAGGCTCCGTTCTTCACATATCGAAATCCTCTTTTTCCAGGAACGCTGATAAAATCATTAGCGGTATAGAATTGCAAAGCTAGGTTGATCTGTCCAGACCTCCAGCGATCGGCCAGTGGGCGGATGAACGATCTTGGCCACTTTTACAGTGGACCTCAGCAGCTGACCTCCATTGACCACATAGCAGTTGTCGTAGCCCTTCATCTTATTATTTTCCATTTCCTGAAGTCGATCGCGTAAAACAATGGGTGACCTCAAATCAAATACCGTATCCGCCACAAGGGTTAAGTTCCCTGTTGGGATCTCGGAAGCATCCGTTTCCACGATCTCACTGGATGCAATCTCCACCGTGTGCTCTGCCAGTCCCTTGGCTCCGGCTCCATGACCAGCTAGGTTAAAGAAGGCGTGGTTAGAGAGATTGACCACCGTCGATTGATCAGTGGTGGCCTCGAAACTGATTGACAAACGGTTATTAATGTCCAGTCTGTAGGTGATCTTGCAGGTTAGAGTGCCTGGATAGCCCTCGTGGCCATGAGGTGACTCGTGCTGAAAGACAACACCCTCGGGTGTCTTCTGCATCACTTCCCAAATGACGCTGTCAAATCCAATAAACCCTCCGTTTAGATGAAGCTGGTCCTGGAATTTAATAAAGCTTTAGCTCTCCTTTAAAGATTATCAAAAGAATATACTTTTTACCTGGATGTTCTTCGAGAGGCTGATTGTTTTCTCATCCACCGTGTACTCGCCGTTGGCCACCCTGTGAGCCACACGACCCAGGGTTCCACCAATGTAGAAGTCCTTGTTATTCACATAACCGGCAACGTCGTCGAAGCCCAGGCAAACATCGTCCACCTTCTTAGAGCCGTCTGGGAGAGAGACGCTCTGGATAGCGGCTCCCAGCTGGATGAGCGTCACGGACATGCCTTTGGTGTTCCTTAGGATATAGGAGCGCACCATTTCCTTGGCTTGGGTTAGAGGGTTCATGGCCAAGCCGAAGTTCTTCTCCTCTACGGTGATAGACATTTTGGTGACCCCCAGGTGTGGTTCCTTCCTGTGCCCTAAAAAGTTGAAAGAAAATGCCTGGTAAGCTTGACTTAAAATCTCGGATTTACTCGATTCTAAAAAATATAAACTATTTAATGGCTTCTAATATTTAATATTATATATACAGTGACCAGACATTTTCCTTGGTGTATGAAGCATTTCCGGATTGTTTTGTTTTACGGCACTTGATGGGGCATGTGCTGTCTCGGACAATTGAAAATGCGAATTGGCCAGCATTACGGGGTGCTCCCCAGTTGGCCATCATTTATGCATGCCAACGTGCTGGCATCGGTTTATCTTTTTGTGTGCCGTTTGTTTGGTTTGTCTGCGGTTGCTGCAGCTGCATCTTCAACTTGTTGTGGCATTAACGAAGTCGTTGATCTTGCTGCATGTGTTGGCAGCTTGGCTCTAATTGAAATATTTTTATTGCCATTTGGCCCGGCCCTCGGAGGTTGCTGGTGGTGTGGGTCATTAATATTCATTAGTCGCACAGCCAAATGCATTAGCAGATTGCACTAAAAACAGTCTGATAAATATGTACGAAACAGCTTCCTTGGGGCAATGTGCTAATGCTTTAAACTTGTCCCAGAACAAAGCGTTTTATTTGCGGAAGTCATTAAGTGGCCGGGACGAGGGAGACAATGTCTTGGCTTAAATTGCTGCGTCTCTACGAAAACTCTCTGATTGCGGTTGTGGAGTGGCACATTTTTGTTGCCACATTTTTCGGTCTTGCCTTTTGCACAATATTACGTATACGCCTACGAAGGCAGATGCGACCGCTCCTTGCAAATTGGGGGTGGTTGTTCCATGTCTTGGACTTGCTGTTAGTCCTGCGGGCAGGAAATGAAGTTGAAGTCGCCGACATTACCGCAAAAAGGCGACGTTGCAAGTTGCAACTTGCCAGAGAATCCCGGGCACAGCGGTGCTGGAATTTGGTTTCCTGCTTAATTTAGCAAACGTTTGCTTTTTTATTTTTGACAGCCATCAGCGGTGGTTTTGTTCTCGGTTTCAGATTCCCTTTGGCGTCTGTTGTATGCAAATTTCGGATACAAGCCGGGACATCAGCTGTAAAACGTGATGGAGTGGCATTCAACCTACAGCGCCCCCATGTTTTGTAGAAGAGCGGAAGTCTTGCTGCTAATGGAATGTTCGTAAAATGGTTTTTCAAAAGGAAACTGTTCGAAAATTCAAGGAATATAGTAGCTGTATTATTATCTGCTCTTTAATGTTCTCCATTAAAGCCATGCCAACGTAACCAACTCCACTTAAATTAAAGCCTAATCCGTACTTACATTGTGGCTTAACGAGAAGTGACTTAAATTTGCTTTGCTAAATATTCAATTAACCACCTTCATGTAGACACACTATCAATGGCATAAACCCTCGAAAACAAACGACCCCGGTTGGCAATTAAATGTTGCCCGGCCGGCGGCTAACAATGCCATGATAATATGTATGTATGTCCCTCTATCCTTCACCTCCTCCCCACGATACTCAACCCATAGTTTGTGTGCAGGGATATGGCCGGCGTATTGGTCGTTCATACATATTGGCATTGGCGATGTGCAGTCATTTGTTCATTAGCGCAGCGCATAAAACTCATCAAGGGCAATTAACATTAACGCAGGCAATCAGCGAGTTGGTCCAGCTTTCAGTTCGTCCTTGTCGACGCCTTGAGCGCCTTGTGGGGTGGATTTGGACGGATAGGCTGGTAGGGTATGTTGCTTACTCCCAGGACATTAATTATCTTATTGGCCTATATCCCGGCAGCCGCAGCATCCGCAGCCCATCGAAGCCGAAGTGGCAATATTTGAAAGTCTATTAAACGCTCAGCGCTAGCAATCAATGATGGCAGGGCCACAAATATTACCCATCTGCTTTTATATGTACATACACTACGAACAGTCATTCCGCTACTCTTCATGTCCTGTGCCGCAGGACGAGGCCAAATTATTGAACATGATATTGAATATGGAGCCGGGACCGGAGCCGTGGCTTCGAGCGGCGATTGTCCAGCGGAACGGACCGAAATCAAAGCCACAAAAGAAATCCCAGTTTGCATATTAACAGCAGCTGCTGCCTGGCCAAAAATTGAATAGTAGGTGGGTTTGTTGGCCATCAGCGTGGATGGAAGCGGGTTCGAGGCGTATCGGGCGTATATCGTCCTGCACATCCTTTGTCAAGCTGAAAATGCAAATTGCCATGACATGCCCTTAACCATTTACCACACGGCGCCCTGCCATCGAGTTCTATTTTTTTCTACCCCCGGCTGTTTTCTTCTCCTGGCTTTCTGTACTTGCTCGCCGGCCACTTCAGGCTTGGCTGGCATAAAGCAAAACGCAAAAAGAAATCAGCAATGGACATGCAAAGCAATTGGAAAACTATACTTAGGGATGGGCAAAGTTGATACCCCTTAGTATGCCGTATGATTGAAAAACATAAAATAAAGATATGCCAAACATTACCAGATAAGTCTGGTAAGTATCAGAAATATCCCTAAAATAAAAAGTCATAATCAATTTTCCTCATTTGCAGTTAAGTTTTTAAGCTATATCTATCATCCCCTTGCTACCCATTAGTGCCTAGAAGGTATGCAGAAAGTTTTGCAAGCAAAGAAACAGCTCTTTGCAAAAAACATGAGCCAATTCTCCAGAGCTTTTTGACCATACGTCTGCGGTTAAGTTTGCCCCAGCCAGGACCATTCAACCCATCCATTCGAGGCTGTGGATCCGTCATGCCCCTCATCCATGTACCCCCTATAAGGAAACCACCCAAGGGATGGACGAGGAGAAGCGCACAAAAAAAGGCAAACCGCACAAATTGTTTGGGACGTCGCCGGCAGTGCTGCGTGAACCCATGCAAATTTCTCCCTCAGGTAACCTTTGTGCTTTGATTGATTGATGGACAGCAGGAGAGCGGAGTCGCCATGGTCATCATCTCGGTATTTCCAGTCAGCCAGTCAGCCAACTTTCTTTTACGCCAAGGAAAACTCCAATATTGAATTTAATTTGTAGACACCACGCGTAGTTTTTCGAGAGCTCTGTATGCAAATTTCAATTTTTACCTTCCGCAAATTGAAAACAAAGGTGCACTATTGGGCACGGGACTTTCGGTTTTGATTGCGGCCATTAACAACTTTTGACATTGTTTTACATTTCTGGGGAAATCAAAGAGGAAAAAGCTACCGTTTGAGGTGCCGTTTGAGACCCAAAATCAATCCGGTGAGTCCGACCCTTACCCTTGCCAGATTCAATCAAACTGTCAGCCAGAAATTTGGGCAAAAGTGCCGACACCGTTCTCCACTGGCTAACGAAATTTTTATTGTCAAAATTAATTAAAAATTGTAATGAGTTCTCTGTTCTCTGTTCGGTGTACTGTTCTGGCCAAATCAGACTCGACTTAAACACATTGACGGCGATTAATTTGTTTGGCATTTTGCAATTTGATTTAAAATTAAGCCGAACACCGAACACCGGCGTGAATTTCAATTAGATCCGCATTTCGGATTTCTGTTTTCGGTTTGTCGGACATCGGTCTTGGTCATTTCATGGCAATTTGATTGGCCTGTCAGCAGCGGAAAATTTAGCTCTTCAACTGGCAGTTGGTGATTTTATTTACCGCTCGCACTGCCACGATTTCAAATTTAAATTGTTTCGGTCCAGTCGGTCGGAGGACTCTTCAAATCGATTTAAAGTCAAATTGCACAATACGGAAAACGACAGAAAAAAACAAGGTAAAAAGGTGTGAGGCAAATCAATGGCTAAATATTGCAAAATATTTCCAGTGCAATGTGCCAAAATAAGTGCGAGTGCAGTTGGCCTGTCACATGGTCCAAATGAAAAGCCATTTACATAGTTGTTCACTTGTCCCAGTTTCCCCCAGTTTCCCCAGTTTCACCCGTTTCAGCAGTTTCCAAAAGCTCACTTGATATGCAATACATTTTTTTCGGCATTTTCACAGGAGTCCGGCAGGACGACGAGTGCAAAATCGTGTTAAGTTAGAGGGCAGTACGGAATGCCTATAGAACAAAAACAATTTCATCTGACTGGTCTACATGCATATATTCACAGAAATATGAATTCCGGCATGGGAACATGGCATATGAAAATGTACAATTTTCAGCCTCCCGGGTAGTAGATGGGAGTTGCAGAATATTGACAGTGCAAGAAAAGGGAATTGTTTTCGGAATGACAATTTACAGATTTCTCTCATATTCCGGAGAAAGTCTCTGCATTGTTGCCTAGAAACTTGCAATTTGAATTTCATGTGGGTGAGCTTCTAAAAGGCTGCTTTGTTCCACTTAAAGCCTTTACCTTGAAGGGAATGAATTTCTGTATTCTTTCTTCTAATAAATTCGTTTCATAACTCACATGAAATACTTTGACAATTGACAAGAGACATTGGAATGTCCTAAAGGGAATGCATCACTAACTTGATGTCTTTGGACTAATTTGTGTGACCTAATTGGAACATTGAAGTCTTCACCTGATACTCAGCACTTTGCCCAAAGTAGTGAAGGACCCTCGACAGGGATTTTAATTCGGTCAATTATTTCAAGTATTTGACGATTAGCTAACCGCGTGCATTGAGCAAAGTTTTTCAATTAATTTCTATCGACAATGGCTGTGAGGGAAATTCAGTCGCCTTAATGCCCGGGGCCAAGACCAGAAATCGAAGCTCGGCAAGAGCAATTGCGGTGGCGATTTGACAAATTGTCCAGGTGAGAGCCCTTTTGTTTTGACCACCCCAAATGGGTGGTGTAGTAAATTCACCCCCATCGACTATCCCTCTTTGCAGGCCATTTTCCATCCATTCTCAACCCGGGTCCCAATTCATTTTATTTGTAATTTCGCAGAACGATTGCGGTCAGTGCCTGCAGGTGATAAATGGCAAAGGAATCATGAAATAATGGACCAACATTCGCCGGGCAGCATGTGGGCATGAGTTCGTTCTCTGCTCAGCTACTTTACTCTCCCGATTTTCCTATCCAATATTTCCCACTGATTTGCTCTTTAATGCGAAAGTATCGCGGTTAGATTTCTTTTGG